GGGGAAAGAGAAAAAAGGAAAGGGAAGGAAGAGGAAGAAAGAAGGAAAAGGGGAAGGAGGGGAAAAAAGAGGAAAAAAGGAGAGAAAGAGAGAAGGGAGGGAGAAGAAAAAAAGGAAGGGAGGGAAGAGGGGAAAAGGAAGGAGAAAGAGGGAAAAAAGGGGGAAGAAAAAAAAGGGGGGAGAAAGAAAGGAAGAGAAGGAAAAAGAATGGGGAGAGGGGGGGGGGGGTCCCACGGCTCTCCCTCTGTCCGCACTCGCCGCCCTTCCTGCCCCACGGCTCTCCCTCTGTCCGCACTCGCCGCCTTTCCTGCCCCACGGCTCTCCCTCTGTCCGCACTCGCCGCCCTTCCTGCCCCACGGCTCTCCCTCTGTCCGCACTCGCCGCCCTTCCTGCCCCACGGCTCTCCCTCTGTCCGCACTCGCCGCCCTTCCTGCCCCACGGCTCTCCCTCTGTCCGCACTCGCCGCCCTTCCTGCCCCACGGCTCTCCCTCTGTCCGCACTCGCCGCCCTTCCTGCCCCACGGCTCTCCCTCTGTCCGCACTCGCCGCCCTTCCTGCCCCACGGCTCTCCCTCTGTCCGCACTCGCCGCCCTTCCTGCCCCGCGGCTCTCCCTCTGTCCGCACTCGCCGCCCTTCCTGCCCCGCGGCTCTCCCTCTGTCCGCACTCGCCGCCCTTCCTGCCCCACGGCTCTCCCTCTGTCCGCACTCGCCGCCCTTCCTGCCCCGCGGCTCTCCCTCTGTCCGCACTCGCCGCCCTTCCTGCCCCACGGCTCTCCCTCTGTCCGCACTCGCCGCCCTTCCTGCCCCACGGCTCTCCCTCTGTCCGCACTCGCCGCCCTTCCTGCCCCACGGCTCTCCCTCTGTCCGCACTCGCCGCCCTTCCTGCCCCACGGCTCTCCCTCTGTCCGCACTCGCCGCCCTTCCTGCCCCACGGCTCTCCCTCTGTCCGCACTCGCCGCCCTTCCTGCCCCCCCGAGGTGATGAACGAGACGGGGCGGAAGTCGGTCACCTTCGTCTTTGCGGGCTACAAGAAGGAGATGGACGAGTTCGTGCAGCACAACGCCAGCTATCTCTCGGCTATGTATCTCGGCTATATCTCGGCCATATCTCGATAGGTTCGTGCAGTACAACGCCGGCCTCGAGTCGCGCATCAAGTGCCACCTTGTAGTCCTGTTCACACCGTGTTGTTCACACCGAGTCGCGCATCAAGTGCCACCCGCCCCCCCCTCGCCTCTTGCCGAGCACCCGCCCGCCGCTGGCGTGCGCGGCGTCTCCTCACACTCCCGGCTGGTGTGAACAGCATGGTGTGAACAGGCACCGCTTCCACTTTGACGACTACGCGGTGTGGAGAGGGCTACAAGGTGTGAACAGCATGGTGTGAACAGGTACCGCTTCCACTTTGACGACTACGCGGTGTGAAGAGGGCTACAAGGTGTGAACAGCATGGTGTGAACAGGCACCGCTTCCACTCTGACGACTACGCGGTGTGAAGAGGGCTACAAGGT